CTGGCCTGCTCCTATAACTCAGACAGACACTAACCTGTCCTGGCCTGCTCCTATAACTCAGACAGACACTAACCTGTCCCTGGCCTGCTCCTATAACTCAGACAGACACTAACCTGTCCTGGCCTGCTCCTATAACTCAGACAGACACTAACCTGCCCTGGCCTGCTCCTATAACTCAGAAAGACACTAACCTGCCCTGGCCTGCTTCCTATAACCAGACAGACACTAACCTGTCGCTGGCCTGCTCCTATACACTCAAACAGACACTAACCCTGCCCTGGCCTGCTCCTATAACTCAGACAGACGCTAACCTGCCCCTGGCCCTGCTCCTAATAAACTCAGACAGACCACTAACCTTTGCCCTGGGCCTGCTCCTATAACTCAGACAGACACTAACCTGTCCCGGCCTGCTACTATGAACTCAGACAGACACTAACCTGCCCTGGCCTGCTCCTAATAACTCAGAACAGACACTAACCTTGCCCTGGCCTGCTCCTAAACTCAGACAGACACTAACCTGTCCGGCCCTGCTCCTATAACTCAGACAGACACTAACCTGCCCTGGCCTGCTCCATTAACTCAGACAGACCACTAACCTTTCCCTGGCCTGCTCCTATAACTCAGACAACACTACCCTGTCCTGGCCTGCCCTATAACTCAGACAATACACTAACCTGGCCCTGGCCTCTCCTATAACTCAGACATCACTAAAACCTGTCCTGGCCTGCTCCTATAACTCAGACAGACACTAACCTGTCCTGGCCTGCTCCTATAACTCAGACAGACACTAACCTGCCCTGGCCTGCTCCTATAACTCAGACAGACACTAACCTGTCCTGGCCTGCTCCTATAACTCAGACAGACACTAACCTGTCCCTGGCCTGCTCCTATAACTCAGACAGACACTAACCTGTCCTGGCCTGCTCCTATAACTCAGACAGACACTAACCTGCCCTGGCCTGCTCCTATAACTCAGACAGACACTAACCTGTCCTGGCCTGCTCCTATAACTCAGACAGACACTAACCTGTCCTGGCCTGCTCCTATAACTCAGACAGACACTAACCTGTCCTGGCCTGCTCCTATAACTCAGACAGACACTAACCTGTCCTGGCCTGCTCCTATAACTCAGACAGACACTAACCTGTCCTGGCCTGCTCCTATAACTCAGACAGACACTAACCTGTCCTGGCCTGCTCCTATAACTCAGACAGACACTAACCTGTCCTGGCCTGCTCCTATAACTCAGACAGACACTAACCTGTCCCTGGCCTGCTCCTATAACTCAGACAGACACTAACCTGTCCTGGCCTGCTCCTATAACTCAGACAGACACTAACCTGTCCTGGCCTGCTCCTATAACTCAGACAGACACTAACCTGTCCTGGCCTGCTCCTATAACTCAGACAGACACTAACCTGCCCTGGCCTGCTCCTATAACTCAGACAGACACTAACCTGTCCTGGCCTGCTCCTATAACTCAGACAGACACTAACCTGCCCTGGCCTGCTCCTATAACTCAGACAGACACTAACCTGTCCTGGCCTGCTCCTATAACTCAGACAGACACTAACCTGTCCTGGCCTGCTCCTATAACTCAGACAGACACTAACCTGTCCTGGCCTGCTCCTATAACTCAGACAGACACTAACCTGTCCTGGCCTGCTCCTATAACTCAGACAGACACTAACCTGTCCTGGCCTGCTCCTATAACTCAGACAGACACTAACCTGTCCTGGCCTGCTCCTATAACTCAGACAGACACTAACCTGCCCTGGCCTGCTCCTATACTCAGACAGACACTAACCTGCCCTGGCCTGCTCCTATAACTCAGACCAGACACTAACCTGTCCTGGCCTGCTCCTATAACTCAGACAGACACTAACCTGTCCTGGCCTGCTCCTATAACTCAGACAGACACTAACCTGTCCTGGCCTGCTCCTATAACTCAGACAGACACTACCCGCCCTGGCCTGCTCCTATAACTCAGACAGACACTAACCTGCCCTGGCCTGCTCCTATAACTCAGACAGACACTAACCTGTCCTGGCCTGCTCCTATAACTCAGACAGACACTAACCTGTCCTGGCCTGCTCCTATAACTCAGACAGACACTAACCTGTCCTGGCCTGCTCCTATAACTCAGACAGACACTAACCTGTCCTGGCCTGCTCCTATAACTCAGACAGACACTAACCTGCCCTGGCCTGCTCCTATAACTCAGACAGACACTAACCTGCCCTGGCCTGCTCCTATAACTCAGACAGACACTAACCTGTCCTGGCCTACTCCTATAACTCAGACAGACACTAACCTGTCCTGGCCTGCTCCTATAACTCAGACAGACACTAACCTGCCCTGGCCTGCTCCTATAACTCAGACAGACACTAACCTGCCCTGGCCTGCTCCTATAACTCAGACAGACACTAACCTGTCCTGGCCTGCTCCTATAACTCAGACAGACACTAACCTGCCCTGGCCTGCTCCTATAACTCAGACAGACACTAACCTGCCCTGGCCTGCTCCTATAACTCAGACAGACACTAACCTGTCCTGGCCTGCTCCTATAACTCAGACAGACACTAACCTGCCTGGCCTGCTCCTATAACTCAGACAGACACTAACCTGCCCTGGCCTGCTCCTATAACTCAGACAGACACTAACCTGTCCTGGCCTAGCTCCTATAACTCAGACAGACACTAACCTGTCCTGGCCTGCTCCTATAACTCAGACAGACACTAACCTGCCCTGGCCTGCTCCTATAACTCAGACAGACACTAACCTGTCCTGGCCTGCTCCTATAACTCAGACAGACACTAACCTGTCCTGGCCTGCTCCTATAACTCAGACAGACACTAACCTGTCCCTGGCCTGCTCCTATAACTCAGACAGACACTAACCTGTCCTGGCCTGCTCCTATAACTCAGACAGACACTAACCTGTCCCTGGCCTGCTCCTATAACTCAGACAGACACTAACCTGTCCTGGCCTGCTCCTATAACTCAGACAGACACTAACCTGCCCTGGCCTGCTCCTATAACTCAGACGACACTAACCTGTCCTGGCCTGCTCCTATAACTCAGACAGACACTAACCTGTCCTGGCCTGCTCCTATAACTCAGACAGACACTAACCTGCCTGGCCTGCTCCTATAACTCAGACAGACACTAACCTGTCCTGGCCTGCTCCTATAACTCAGACAGACACTAACCTGTCCTGGCCTGCTCCTATAACTCAGACAGACACTAACCTGTCCTGGCCTGCTCCTATAACTCAGACAGACACTAACCTGTCCTGGCCTGCTCCTATAACTCAGACAGACACTAACCTGTCCTGGCCTGCTCCTATAACTCAGACAGACACTAACCTGCCCTGGCCTGCTCCTATAACTCAGACAGACACTAACCTGTCCTGGCCTGCTCCTATAACTCAGACAGACACTAACCTGTCCTGGCCTGCTCCTATAACTCAGACAGACACTAACCTGTCCTGGCCTGCTCCTATAACTCAGACAGACACTAACCTGTCCTGGCCTGCTCCTATAACTCAGACAGACACTAACCTGCCTGGCCTGCTCCTATAACTCAGACAGACACTAACCTGTCCTGGCCTGCTCCTATAACTCAGACAGACACTAACCTGTCCTGGCCTGCTCCTATACTGTAGCTCTGGTGCCGGATTCACAAAGAGTCTGAGACTGGAGTGCTGATCTGGGATCATTTTCCTTTTAGATCATAATGAATGCGATATGTATGATGAAGTGTCTCAGAGTAAGAGTGCTGATCTGGGATCAGGTCTGCCCTGTCCACATAATATTATTCATTATGATCTAAAAAGGCAAAACTGATCCTAGATTAGCACTCCTACTCTGAGATGCTTTGCGAATATTTATTTATTAACCTTTATTTAAACAGGGAGTCCTGTATATGTTTATCACATTGAGATAAAACTATTTTACAAGAGAGCCCTGTATACGTTTACAAATAAAACACAAGAGCCCTACATATACATTACAAAGAAAACACACTATAATAAAACACATAATACACAACATTCAAAATATTTAAGAAAAGCAATCACATTCTGTAACATAAAAGTCTCCAATCAATAATTTAAAATGCCTGAAAGGCACCAGAATATCTAATTGCAAGCAGATTTTCCTAATTCTGTGGAGACCAAATGGATCTCCAGAGTTATCCATCCCTGAGAACGGGTTTGGTAATTTGTACATCTAAAATTAATCAACTAAGTACTGTACAGAGGAAGTTTCTACTTTGTAAATAAATAAGAGAGTGCAGCTCTCTTCTTACAGACAGAAAGGTCCATCCCACATGTTTGTAAAGAATACAATGATGTCCTAAAACGTATTGCTGAATGGAATACTGAGTCCAATGGTTTCAAAACAGAGGCTGCCATGTACATATAAATAATGTCACCATAGTCTATTACAGGGAGAAGTCTTGTTTGAACAATCTTCCTTCTATTTTCGGAACTGAGGCAGGATTTATTTCTAATCATAGATCTCAGCTTCTTTGTCAAGTTTTCAATGTGTGTTTCAAAAGACAACTTGTCATCAATCCAGATATCCAAGTACTAATAGTGAGAAACTTGCTCAATTTGGGCTCCATTTGGAGTGCAAATATGCAAGTCATCAGGGTCAACATTACGAGACCTAGAGAACAGCATAAACTTGGTTTTATTTGCATTTAACACTCATTTAAAGATCAGTAAGTGATTTTTGGATTGAGTCAAAATCATGCTGAAGGTCACGAATGGCCTGCTGCACTGAAGAGGCACAGGAATATATAACTGTGTTACCTGGACCCTGGTCCTCTTTCTCGGACTACAATGGCTGCTTATATTAGAAGAGGTAGCGTTGCAAATATCCTGGGTGTTAAAGTCACATTGTTTTTGACATATTTAAATGCTTCACTTCTCAAAATTCATCCATGAAATAACAGAATCTCTTCTCTCTTCTAGTATTTGGGTTGCATTGAAGTCCTTCGGTCGATGAAATCACTGGATTTCAACACAAGATCGCAAATAACGAGGTAAGATAATCATTTATTTTGTTGAAGGAAATGGATACCCTGTGAGAGCGATTTATTATGTGTTATGTTATCTATTTTACCCCTATTTTACTCTTGTTTTACCCATATTTGCCCCTGTTTTACCCATATTTACCCCTCTTTTACCCCTCTTTTACCAAGACAAGGCTTACTTACTTACAGTACATTTGGAAAGTATTCAGACCCCTTTACTTTTTCCACATTTTGGTACGTTACAGCCTTATTCTAAAATTGATTAAATTGTTTCGTTTTTCCTCATCAATCTACACACAATACCCCATAATTACAAAGCAAAAACAGGTTTTTATAAATTTTTGCAAATGTAAAAAAAAAAAAAAGGAAATATTACATTTACATAAGTATTCAGACCCTTTACTCAGTACTCTGTCGAAGCACCTTTGGCAGCTATTACAGCCTTGAGTCTTCTTGGGTATGACGCTACAAGCTTGGCACACTTGTATTTGGGGAATTTCTCCCATTCTTCTCTGCAGATCCTCTCAAGCTCTGTCAGGTTGGATGGGGAGCATTGCAGCACAGATATGTTCAGGTCTCTCCAGAGATGTTAGATCGGGTTCAAGTCCGGACTCTGGCTGGGCCACTCAAGGACATTCAGAGACTTGTCCCGAAGCCACTCCTGAAAAACATCCCCACAGCATGATGCTGCCACCACCATGCTTCACCGTAGGGAAGTTGCCAGGTTTCCTCCAGACATGACACTTGGCATTCAGGCCAAAGAGTTCCATTTTGGTTTCATCAGACCAGAGATTCTTGTTTCTCATGGTCTGAGAGTCTTTAGGGGCCTTTTGGCAAACTCCAAGCAGGCTGTCATGTGCCTTTTACTGAGGAGTGGCTTCCTTCTGGACACTACCATAAAGGCCTGATTGGTGGAGTGCTGCAGAGATGGTTGTCCTTCTGGAAGGTTCTCCCATCTCCACAGAGGAACTCTGGAGCTCTGTCAGAGTGACCATCGGGTTCTTGGTCACCTCCCTGACCAAGGTCCTTCTCCCCCTATTGCTCAGTTTGGCCAGCTCTAGGAATAGTCTTGGTTCCAAACTTCTTCCATTTAAGAATGATGGAGGCCACTGTGTTCTTGGGGACCTTCAATGCTGCAGAATGTTTTTGGTACCCTTCCCCAGATCTGTGCCTCGACACAATCCTGTCTCGGCGCTCTACGGACAATTCCTTCAACCTCGTGGTTTGGTTTTTGCTCTAACATGCACTGTCAACTGTGGGACCTTATATAGACAGGTGTGTGCCTTTCCAAATCGTGTCCAATCAATTGAATTTACCACAGGTGGACTCCAATCAAGTTGTAGAAACATCTCAAAGATGATTAATGGAAACAGGATGCACCTGAGCTCAATTTAGAGTCTCATAGCAAAGGGTTTGAATGCGTATGTAAATAAGGTATTTCTGTTTTTTATTGTTAATACATTTGCTAAGAAATCTAAAAACCTGTTTTTTCGCTTTGTCATTATTGGGTATTGTGTGTAGATTGATGAGGGGAAAAAAACGATTTAATCAATTTTAGAATAAGGCTGTAACATAACAAAATGTGGAAAAAGTAAAGCTGTCTGAATACTTTCCGAATGCACTGTATACTTACCTCTTATACTCACCTGACTGCCCCCGTTTATTTATTAGATTAATCCCCATTGTCCACAACAAAATAGATACATTAGAAGAAGCCTGTATTTTCTATGGTTTTTTATTGAATAACAAGGCTATGGTTGCCAGTAGAGCTGTGACTGTGAGAGACGTGGAGCCTGTACTGTGAATATGGCATGTCTGTGTCACGTTCAGTTTTCTGCTTGACTTCATGGAGTCAGCTAGCTGGTTTAAACCAGACTGAAAGCTGTGCTCAGAGCCATCATTGTGCACCTAGCATTCAGTCTGGTTTAACCAGGCTAGGAGTCGGCAGCAGCGTTCACATTAGTGCAAGGCAAGGGCCACATGATATTGCACTATTCATTGAAGAGAGGGCGAGATGGAGGGAGGAGAGGGAGAGGAGAGAGAGAGAGAGAGAGAGATAGAGAGAGAGAGAGAGAGAGATAGAGAGAGAGCGAGAGAGATAGAGAGCGAGAAGAGATAGAGACGCAGAAGACGATAGAATCGAGATATCGTATCTCATAGTACTAGCTGTACTCGCATCTCTTCGCTCTAGTCAGCCATCGCTCCTCTCTCTGATCTGATCGACTAGAGAGGTCTTTTGTTAACTTATATACATTCCTATTCTGAAATAACTGAGAGCATGTATTTAAAGACTGTGATAAAAATAAAATAAACAAATCTCTGTCTCATCATCACCAAAGCTATGCTATAAATGTACTGTAGCATAACACTGTTCTTCTGTTGCTTCTTGGATTACTCCAAGCGGGCTGTCATGTGCCTTTTACTGAGGAGTGGCTTCCGTCTGGACACTACCATAAAGGCCTGATTGGTGGAGTGCTGCAGAGATTTTTGCCCTTCGGGAAGGGAACCATTATTGGGCATTGTCATCATCCCCATTCTAAAATCTGGGATAAAGCTGCTTTAACAGAGGGCCAGGTTCAAAAAAATTTTTAATTTTCCCCTCCTGTTTAGAAACTGGGTAGCCTAGTGGTTAAAAGTGTTGGTCCAGTAACCGAAATCTGTCGACGTGCCCTTGAGCAAGGCACTTAACCCTCATTGCTCCTGTAAGTCGCTCTTGATAAGAGTGTCTGCTAAAGGACTAAAATGTCAAATGCTACCCTTTGTTAACCGGCTGTATTTTCTGTCCATCCTGTCATTGGGTTCCGCTATCTACTCCAGAATCCATAGACATATTTCTCCTGCATCTATAAGACTACTGATCGCTAAGCTTACCCATTGTTAACAGGCTCCATCCTGTCCTTGTCCTTCTATCTCTCTACCACCAGAGAGGCCATCAGTTTGGTGTGTGAGGCAGTCCCGGGGGCCAAAGGAGCACTGCGGAAGAGAAAGGTACCCCTAACCTACTCCCCATATCTGGGCAGGGAGAGAGGGAGGGAAAGACTTCTGAGTGTAATGTTTACTGTTAATATTTATTGTTTATTTCACTTTTGTTTACTATCTACTTCACTTGCTTTGGCAATGTTAAACATACGTTTCCCATGCCAATAAAGCCCTTAATTAAATTTTTAAAAAAAACGGGGCCCATTTTAAACCCCCTTTTTTTCCCCCCCAAAATTCGGGGCCCCTTTTCCCCTTTTGTTTTCTTGATGGAGAAATAATCCAAGGAGTCCCTTTTTTTTTTTTTGGGCAAGATTCCCCCAAATGACTTTAGGGGAATTGATTTTTCATGTATGATAAGAAAATCACAATAGGACGAAAAGAGTGGGGAGCCATGCGGGGTTGTTCCCCGGGGGGGTTGAATGCAGTGTTGCCCTTTGTAGGGGGGGGATCCATGCAAAAGGGGGTTAAAGGAAGGGGGGAAGAGGGGGAGGGGGGGTGGAAGGGGGCCCCCAGGGGGGGTTTAAGAGGGGGGCCCCGGGGTTGGGGGGAAGTAGGGCCCCAGGGGGGTGTTTTATCCATCTAATTTTTCTTTTCCCTTTTCCTCTATTGGGGTTTGATCCATGCTATGGTCTGTCTCCTAAGTGTGGGGTGTTTATCCAGCTATTTCTGTCTCCCGTAGTGGGGGTTTGTCCATGCTATAGCTGTCTCCTCTAGTGGGGGGTTTTATCCTGAATGTCTGTTCCTCTGTGTGGGGGGTTGATCCTGCTTTAATTTCGTCCCTTTTGTAGTGGGGGGGGGTTGATCCCTATGTGTCTGTCTCCCCCGTAGTGTGGGGTGTTATCCCTGCTATTTCTGTCTCCCCTTGTGTGGGGGGGTTGACCATGCTAGTTCTGTCTCCTCTAGTGTGGGGGGTTGATCCTGCTATTGTCTGTTCCTGTAGTGTGGGGGGTTGACCCTGCTATTTTCTGTCTCCCCCGTAGGTGGGGTGTTGACCTCTTGCTGTTCCTCTAGGTGGGGTGTTTTACCTGCTATATTTTGTCTCCTCGTATTGGGGTGTTTTATCCATGCTATGGTCTGTCTCCTCGTAGTGTGGGGTGTTGATCCATGCTATATGTCTGTCTCCTCGTAGTGTGGGGTGTTGATCCATGCTATGTATCTGTCTCCTCGTAGTGTGGGGTGTTGATCCATGCTATGTGTCTGTGTCCTCGTAGTGTGGGGTGTTGATCCATGCTATGTGTCTGTCTCCTCGTAGTGTGGGGTGTTGATCCATGCTATGTGTCTGTCTCCTCATAGTGTGGGGTGTTGATCCATGCTATATGTCTGTCTCCTCGTAGTGTGGGGTGTTGATCCATGCTATATGTCTGTCTCCTCTTTAGTGTGGGGTTTGTTGATCCATGCTATATGTCTGTCTCCTCGTAGTGTGGGGTGTTGATCCATGCTATGTATCTGTCTCCTCGTAGTGTGGGGTGTTGATCCATGCTATGTGTCTGTCTCCTCGTAGTGGGGGGGGTGTTGATCCATGCTATATGTCTGTCTCCTCGTAGTGGGGGGTGTTGATCCATGCTATGTGTCTGTGTCCTCGTAGTGTGGGGTGTTGATCCATGCTATATGTCTGTCTCCTCGTAGTGTGGGGTGTTGATCCATGCTATATGTCTGTCTCCTCGTAGTGTGGGGTGTTGATCCATGCTATATGTCTGTCTCCTCGTAGTGTGGGGTGTTGATCCATGCTATATGTCTGTCTCCTCGTAGTATGGGGTGTTGATCCATGCTATATGTCTGTCTCCTCGTAGTGTGGGGTGTTGATCCATGCTATGTGTCTGTGTCCTCGTAGTGTGGGGTGTTGATCCATGCTATGTGTCTGTGTCCTCGTAGTGTGGGGTGTTGATCCTGCTATGTGTCCTGTGCCTCGTAGTGTGGGGTGTTGATCCATGCTATGTGTCGTTGTCCTCGTAGTGTGGGGTGTTGATCCATGCTATGTGTCTGTGTCCTCGTAGTGTGGGGTGTTGATCCATGCTATATGTCTGTCTCCTCATAGTGTGGGGTGTTGATCCATGCTATGTGTCTGTCTCCTCGTAGTGTGGGCTGTTGATCCATGCTGTGTTTCTGTCTCCTCGTAGTGTGGGGTGTTGATCCATGCTATATGTCTGGTCTCCTATAGTGTGGGGTGTTGATCCATGCTATGTGTCTGTCTCCTCGTAGTGTGGGGTGTTGATCCATGCTATGTGTCTGTCTCCTCGTAGTGTGGGGTGTTGATCCATGCTATGTGTCTGTCTCCTCGTAGTGTGGGGTGTTGATCCATGCTATGTGTCTGTGTCCTCGTAGTGTGGGGTGTGTGTGGTGCGTTACTGTGTGGATCCAGGCTATGTGTTTGAGCTGGAGATGGGGAGCCATGTTAGCTAGCTATGGGCCTGAAAGGAGCTCGTGTCCTCTTACAATAAAATGAATCAGAGCAATATTCAGATTGCATACCATGCTAGCCTTTCCAGTGTATATCTGTGTCTAACACATTGCCCAATTGGCTCTGCCTGGGAGAATAGAATAATATAACGATCTGATGTCGTTAAACTGTAGACTATCATAGTATAGCTGCTGCTTCAGTGTACTGACACTTTGGGTGTTACAAATAAAATGTATTATTATTATTATTATTCCTGTATTTGTGCATGATGTACAACTCATCTCCTACCTGCCTCTCTTCTCTCCCCCAAGCCTCCATCTAAAGCCCTGTCCAGTATCCTGGGGAAGAGGAACCTCCAGTTTGCTGGGATGAGCATCAACTTGAATATCTCCACCAGTAGCCTCAACCTGATGACCCCAGACTCCAAACAGGTCCGTTTAGAAACCATGCAAAGTTCCTTTTGTTAAGAAAATATATTTCTGTAAGAGATGTCAAGAACAGTTAGACTACTGTGCTATTTGGTGTCCTGATCAATATGTCTTTATTATTCTACCAGATCATAGCCAATCATCATATGCAGTCCATTTCCTTTGCATCGGGCGGAGATCCAGTGAGTGATCCAGTAAGAACCATTTTTTATATCGGTTTATTTTGTGTATCACTCATGTCAACCCAATGTATTAAAACATCTATACATTCATATGTGGACTCTCCTTAGGACTGCTGTAGATTTCAGTGTATAAATGTCTTCTTGGTTTGCTTTTCCTTTGATGACTCTGTTCACCGTTGACTATTTTCCCTTTCCTTGGTCCAGGACACGACTGATTATGTTGCCTATGTAGCGAAAGATCCTGTCAACCGAAGAGGTAGGCTCTACCTGTATTTCTCTTCTTCTGCTTCTTCTGCTTCTTCTTCTTCTTCTTCTTCTTCTTCTTCTTCTTCTTCTTCTTCTTCTTCTTCTTCACCTTTCTCCTGCTGGTAGTTGACCTCTGCACCTCCTCTCCTAGCGTGTCATATTCTGGAGTGTTCTGATGGTCTGGCCCAGGATGTGATCAGCACCATCGGCCAGGCCTTTGACCTCCGCTTCCAGCAGTACCTCCAGTGTCCCTCCAGCAAGATGACCTCTGTACACGACAGGTGAGTCCGTCTGCCATCATAGGCGACCATACTATGACATTATTTCATATCTTTTCTTTAGAGCAAAATGAGTTTGTGAAAGCACTGGTTTCCATGGATATTCACTAGGTTGCTGCTTTTCGGTACTAGCAAGTGGTACTTGTTTCTATGAATCCCAAAGAAACAAACAAGTCAAGAAGGTTTTTACTGTGTTATTATGATTTGACTATGTCCTTACCATCCGCCCTGCTGGACATATGCTGTAATGTCGGCAGGAAGAGCTTCACGATGCACATATTAATACTGCTTTCTAGTGAGACGTGTTTCACTGCTGATCGACCCTCTGTGCGATGACAGGGTTCTGAATATGGATGAGTCAGTCTGGACGGAGGAGGAGGAGGAGCCTGCTGAACATCCATACTACAACAACATCCCCGGCAAGATGCCGCCACCTGGAGGTTTCATAGACACCCGGCTAGGCCAGTGCAGCCAGACTGAGGTACAGCACCCTCGCCACATCTCACCACATGCAGTGCCTACAACAGCCAGTACAGTGCGCTACAGTTATCTCAACAAAAAAACGTCCTCCACCTCCCTGTAATAATATCATAATATAGTAAGATATAGGGTTTGATAAATACCAGGCTAGGCCGGACCAAGCAGACTGAGGTACAGAACGCCTGGTCACACCTCACACGTACCTCAACCACCTACCTCACCATCCACCTAGCTATAATAATATATGCCACTTAGAAGATGCGTTTATCCAAAGGGTTCAACACAGTTCTGAGTACATACGTTTTATGTGTATGTGATCACTGCGGGACATGAACCCACTATCTTGGCGTTGCACTCTTACCAACTGAGCCACACAGTACCACAAATCAACATGAGGTGTACGTACGTCATCACCAGTTACAAATACACTTCCCAGGATGTCCATTCCACACTTACCTCATCCATCCTACCTCATCCACACCTGACCAGCCACACCGACCTAATCCACCACCGCAGCCGCACGGACCGCATGCCAGCCACCGCAGCCGCACGGTACCGCAGCCAGGCGACCGCAGCCAGACGACACACCAGTCCAACCCATCCTCACGTACCTCATCCATCCGACCTCATCCATCTACCGCACCATCCTACCTCATCCCACTACCTCATCCCATCCATCCTACCTCATCCTCACTTACCTCATCCATTCTACCTCACCCACCCCTACCTCATCCATTCTACCTCATCCATACTACCTCATCCATCCTACCTTATCCATCCTACCTTATCCATCCTACCTCATCCTACCTCTTCCGTATGTAGGCACCCAGGGCCTACATACATCACCACGGGCTAGAAATACATCCTGTTAGCCTCTGGGATTTGATTTGCTTCCCAATCATGAATGAGATGGATGCTGCAGGCAGGGGAAGGAACGGATGACAGACCTTGCAGAAGAGTTGGTGTTTTTTATCTTTATTTTTCTGTGACTCATTCTGTTGTTGTTCCTGTGTCTGTCTCTGGAGCAGCAGGCCCCAGGGGCTGGGGTGGACCAGACTTACTACCAGGGTAGACACTGTGAGGAGATCTGGGGAGCGGACAGGAGGCCTACTGGGATACTCGTCCAACAGGGTAAAAGAGGATCTGTCTGTCTCTGGTCTCTCTTTCTCTCTTTGGATACCTTTCTGGATCTCTCACGATCCCTCTCTCTGTTTGTATATCGCTGTCTCTCTCTCTCTCTCTCTCTGGCGCTCTCTGTCTCTCTTTCTGTCTCTCTCTCTCTCTCTCTCTCTCTCTCTTCATCTCGCCGTCTCTCTCTCTCACCCATAGCTACTGTATGTTAGTTCACAATGTTTAGATCTTATATTGTTTCTACTAGGGATGTAAACATTGACCAATGCGCATCGGTCCCGGTTCAAATGTTTAACCAGTTAAATGTAACTAAAAGTAATCTTAGGAATGTGACCAAAATAGCTTTTTACCACCTGAGGAACATTGCCAAGGTGTGGCTATTTCTCTCTCATGCTGATACAGAGACTCATCCATGCCGTTATTACAAGCAGGCTTGACTACCGTAATGCTCTCCTGTCTGGTCTACCCAAGAAAGCCATTGGTCAACTGCAAAACATACAGAGTGCTGCAGCACGGGTACTGACCAAGACCAGACGGAGAGCACACATTACACCGGTTTGAAGGTCTCTGCACTGGCTGCCTGTGAGTTTTAGAATTCATTTTAAGATTCTTCTATTGGTTTTTAAATAATGATATGATTGTGCACCCCAATACATGTCAGACATGCTTTTAAGCTATGTACTCAGTAGGTCCCTCAGGTCCTCTGGCACTGGCCTTTTAACTATCCCAAAACCTAGGACCAAGAGGCATGGGGAGGCAGCCTTTAGTTATTATGCCCCTAGCCTCTGGAATAGCCTGCCAGAGAACCTGAGGGGGGTCCTAAACAGTGGACATATTTAAAAGATCTTAAAACACACCTTTTTAGCTTTGTTTTTCCTCAGGGGGCTTTTTAGTCGTTCAGTTGTTATTGTTATTCTTTTGTTTTTTATCCTCTTACGTTTGTTGTGTAGCAAATATTTCAGGGTTTTTTCATTGTTTTTATTCGTTTTTTCCCGTGAAGCACTTTCTGTTGCTTTCCATGTCTGAAATGTGCTGTATAAGTAACGTTTGATTTGATTTGAATCTAAAATGTAATCTACGTAATCCCCCAAATTTAATTAATTATGAGAGAGCCATAAACAATAACTAGTAATGCTGAATAAAATCTCACCTTTCTGGTAATTTTTTTTTATAAATTGCTGAGGTGTAGTCACTTTTCAGGACACAAGCTCAAGTACACAGAACAAATATGATTAAAAAAAGAAAGTTTATATAAAATAATTGCCTCCACAGATATGGTCTGATTTTGGCTAGGCTACTCTGAAGCAAGGTAAGACATGCCTCATAATATGTAGTAAAACTTTCAGGTTTCAAACAATTAAGTATATGTTTTGAAAATGCAGCGACGTGGCCTGCCTTCCGTTGACTATGCATTTCCTGTTTGAGATGCTGCAGCAGCAGCAGCTCTCTCGCCGTCTGACAGATTTTCCACTCAAAGACTCTGTATCTGTGTGCTGTACGCGTGTGATAAATAAGATACATAACGAATATAAACATAAATAAGATACGATTATTATTATTATTATTATTATAACGAATATACTGTAGACACGCGGCCAATTTAATTACACTAAATTATAGACTGATGTTGTTAGATACTACTGCACTGTTGGAGCTAGAAACACAAGCATTTCACTACACCCGCAATAACATTTACGTCATTTAGCAGACGCTCTTATCCAGAGAGACTTTCAGTTAGTGAGTGCTTACATTTTTCATACTGCCCCCCCGGGAATCGAACCCTACAACCCTGGCGTTGCAAACGCCATGCTCTACCAACTGAGCTACACGGGGCCTACATCTGCTAAACATGTGTATGTGACCAATAAATGATTTGATTTGATTTGAAGCATGACCAATCAAATGTATTTCCATCGACTGGTGTTTCCATCAATGAAGAGGCTAAAAACATTATTTCACAATGGGATTTCTTCTTCTTCTCCTGGACAATTGGCTGGTGTCAATTTTATATATATCGGCTTTTCTATTTTTTTATCGTCCAAAAGTTGGCTATTACCAGCTAATGGAAACCTTGACACACACACACACAAGTCCGCTCAGACAGATCCAGCTCAGAGACCCAGCTCATGAGCTCCATCAGCAGCAGATATGAATTTAAAATGGAAAATTAATGTATTTATGCAATAAATGCGTGCATTGAATCGTTTCGCATCGAACCAAATCGCTTTGTTACTCTAATCAAACCGAATCGCACCGAAACTAAAACGTATCGTTCCTGTATCATATCGGAGCCCATGTATCTAGATGCGTATCATTCCTGTATGGTATCAGAACCATTGTATCTAGATATGTACTGTTCCTGTATGGTATAAGAGCCCATGTATCTAGATACATATCTAATCGTCTTGAAAGAGAAAAATGCGCATCCCTCGTTTCTCTCATAACTCCCCCCCAGGTAAGAAGAGAAAGACTCTTTATTGTCTATTTTCTTTTCAGATTACAGAAAATATAAATGAGTCTTTCTTGCTTTTTCCTTTTTCCTTTTGCTTTGATGTCTAGGATCATGTGATATCTACAGTCTGCCAGAGGGGAAGAGTACAGTACCAAAAACGGGGGATGTGCCTACTTACGTCAACACACAGCAGATCGACGCCCAGGTGCTGGCAGCGCTGCAGGCTGAACAGGACAGCATGGCAGCAGAAGGGGCAGCGGGTACAGCAGCCAAAGAAAGTCCCAGGAAAGACCTGTTTGACATGAGTAAGTAGACCTACTTCTAACTGCTTATTGCTAATGAGAGAGAGAGAGAGAGAGAGAGAGAGAGAGAGAGAGAGAGAGAGAGAGAGAGAGAGAGAGAGAGAGAGAGAGAGAGCCTGTTAAGTAATATGCACATTATCGTATGGCAGAGGGAGCAGCAGCTGTAGCGAAATACCTGTTTGACATGAGTAAGAACAACTAACATGGCTAATGCTAATAACTCTAGCATATTCCTATTAAACATCTATGAGAAGAAGAAACTAACCGCTAATTGCTAATAGCACTAGCATATTCCCATTCAACATCTACAAGAAGAAGAAACTAACTGCTAACCACTAATTACTATTAACACTAGCATAATCCTATCCAATGATCCGGTCCGAATACGATTTCTACCCCTTCCCTTGGCCCTAACCCTTCAATGTTTGCAGATCTGAAGGTGGAAGCTTTACCACTACACTGCTTATACTTATCCTTAGACATGCTAACATAGAGGGGTAAGAGAACAAGGGGGATGGATAGGGAGCGATTTAGGACCGGCTGAACATACTTATAAAAATAAGAAACCTCACCGCTAAAATGTTTATGCTAATTTTTCTTTTACATTTTAGTCATTTAGCAGACGCTCTTATCCAGAGCGACTTACAGTTAGTATAACACTAGCATTATTCCTATTGAACCTGTATAAGACAAAACGTACCACTAATTGGTAACACTAAGCTGTATGGAATTGTTTTAAGGTCATACCAAGGATCATTTTGCTTTTTGATTTTGAATTTTAAGACTCCCTTGAAGTATCAAAAAAATATATTCCAAAATTATTTGATGAAAATGTTTATTTGGCCTTACTGCTATTAGCTTATTCAAATGCATTTAATAACAGATTCACTACATGGAACAACACATAGTCCCCCCCAAAAAAAAAAAAAAAATTCTGAAGGATGTTTGTTCTGAAGTGTCTGGGAGATCAGGAAACATTAGTATTATTATTACATTTTTTATGAGCATGGCCTTATTTCTACAGCATATTGGATGACTGACCTTCATGTTCCATTCACCCAGCTCAATGTAACATTGATAGGTTTATGCTACTACATTATACTCAACTTTTCCCTATACCCATCATGAGTTTGACACAACCTAGCCTATGAATGACATTCTACAACGTAGGTGCACAGGTAGAGAGACATTTGATTAATCAAGGTGACAGACATTGACACATTCAATACCGCCTTGCACACTCTCGCCTGCATCTAGCTGATCTAGTGTGTAATCATTAGTCCAACAGTTGCAAACAAGACTTTCTATTGGACAAATTCAGGTATGTTTATCCCCTTTGAGTCAACCACTCACCAAAATGTATGCACTGCAGTGCTAGCTAGCTGTAGCTTATGCTTCATACTAGATTAATTCTCTGATCCTTTGATTGGGTGGACAACATGTCAGTTCATGCTGCAAGAGCTCTGATAGGTCGGAGGATGTCCTCTGGAAGTTGTCATAATTACTGTTTAAGTCTATGGAAGGGGGTGAGAACCACGAGCCTCCTAGGTTTTGTATTGAAGTCAATGTACCCAGAGGAGGACGGAAACTAGCTGTCCTCCGGCTACACCATGGTGCTACCCTACAGGGTGCTGTTGAGGCTACTGTAGACCTTCATTGCAAAACAGTGTGTTTTAATCAATTATTTGGTGACGTGGATATAATTAGTATAGTTTTATCTAAAAATGATAACTTTTTAAATGTTTCACAATTTTTATTTTTATGAAATTTACTGAAGAGGTTGGCCCTCCCCTTCCTCCTCTGTGGAGCCTCCACTGATAGTTAGGTTATTCATGATTATGTATTGCTTGTTTGTTTTTTTGCTTTTGAAGCGCTTTGAGATTGTTATGAAAAGCGCTATAGACATTTTATAAATTATTATTATTATTATAGATAGCTACAGTAGTAACCAAACAAACAGACTTGCTAGTTTAGCTAACCAAACCATCAGTCCTAGCTTGCTATTATGAAAATCAAATTCAACAATGCCAATAACATTTTGAATTCAACTTTTGCTTTCAAAAGCAGCTCAAACATAGAACATGTAAGAATGAACTTCATAGCCATTGAATTATATTGTGCATTATAGGGAATTATACAACAGGTGGGTCTAATTCTGAATGCTGATTGGTTAAAACCGCATTCCAGCTGGTGTCTATTCCACAAGTTACCACCGGCTAAATATATGATGTTAAAATGGCTATTTACTCTGTTCCATCTGACCGAGCAATCCACTGTATCATCAGCCCAGCCAAGCAATTTATAAACTTGATCTCCACTATAAAAAGCATCTAGACATTATCTCACATTTATTTTAGACTAACATTTAGTTTTCAACAGCGGAGAATTGTATAAACCTTGCTGACATTTGCTAAATTGTTTCAATATTCAAATTCGATCTCCAGCTGTCCCATAGTAATGAACGTGTCGGGAGTCGGGACAGGACAGGCAGGCAGGCAGCGTTTCTCAGCCAGTTGAAATCATGAATCAGCTGGCATAATTTCTATGGACATATACAAAGAAATGTAAATTGAAAAAAGGTCAAACGAAACGAAGTGCAGCTAGTTTGAATCTTTCCACCTTCAGTTTGAAGTGTTTGTGTTAGCTGTGTTGTTGGCTAGCTCCTCTGAACAACAGTGTCCTGACGAGTGAGCTAATCGCGCCTCATTAGCTCATTGTTATGGATGTATCCAAATAAATGTCACTAGAAAACAGCTTAAACAAATGCAAATGCAGCTACTTTGCTGTTATTCTGGCTGCACTTTTTGACTGACTGTAAGTTAGCCGTAGTTGTCTAGCTAGCAAGCAAGGGATAAGAATGATGCCAGCCAGTTTGGCAATGGAACATTTAGAACAAATGACATAGATACAGAACAAAAAGACTTAACAACTGGGTCGTGTCTCTAGCAACCGAACCGATAGAACGAACGACCAGCCGGCTTGGGTAGCAACCCTATATTTGTGTCGGGACTATATCTTGTGGAAGGATGAAATAGTATGAATAAATTCATAAAAATAAAGTTTTTAATGAAAATATGTTGATCATTATTTGAATATGTTGGTAACCCGTTGTATAAAGTGATAATGCCCTCAAAGCCAAAACACTGGCTTCTCTGGCATTATCACTTAAATAAGGCACACTCTAGAATGCCCTTCAAGCCAATCAGAAACTAGTATTCAACAATGCCATGGTGTAACATACATTGGGCTCTTGAGTGGAGCAGCGGTCTAAGGCACTGCATTTCAGTGCTCGAGGTGTCACTACAGACCCCCTGGTTCGATTCCAGGCTGTATCACAACCGGCCGTGATTTGGAGTCCCATAGGGCGGCGCACAATTGGCCCAGCGTCGTCTGGGTTTGGCCGGTGTAGGCCGTCATTGTAAATAAAAATGTGTTCTTAACTGACTTGCCTAGTTAAATAAAGGTTAAATAAATAAAAAACATACATTACACAACTTACGTTGTCCATGCTTCCCTTTGTACCTGCACAGGCCTATTTTCACCATATAGTAGGCCTCCTGTAGCTCAGTTGGTAGAGCATGGCGCTTGCAACGCCAGGGTTGTGTGTTCGATTCCCACGGGGGGCCAATATGACAAATTTTTATGCACTCACTAACTGTAAGTCGCTCTGGATAAGAGCGTCTGCTAAATGACTAAAATGTAAATATTGTGCTCAAAGCTTACATGTGTTCTTTATCCCACCACCACAGAGCCTTTTGAGAATGCCATCCTGACCCAGTCAGGGGTCCCTGCCCTGCACAAGGCTGGATCTGTGGATAACACCAGCCCCTTGTTGGTGCGCTCTGCTGCCTTCAAGGCCCAGGAGGAGCTGGAAGGCCAAGCATGGTACCACGGAGAGATGAGCCGACGAGACGCAGAGAAACTACTGCTAGACGACGGAGACTTCCTGGTTAGGAAGAGCACCACCAACCCTGGGTCGTACGTACTGACGGGCATGCACAACGGACTGGCCAAACACCTACTGCTGGTGAATCCTGAGGGCACGGTGAGCAGGGAGGAGAAAGGGGGGGGGGGGGGGGGGGGGGGGGTCTGTGTGTGAGAGAGAGATAGAGACTGAGTATGAGAAAGCCAATAAGAGAAAGAGTGAGTGATTGAGTGAATACCCACTGGGCACAGACGTCAATTCAACGTGTATTCCTCATTGGTTCAACCTAATTTTGTTGAAATGACGTGGAAACAACGTCGATTCAACCAGTGTGTGCCCAGTGAGTAAGTAATTGTGAGACAAAGAGAGCGAGAGAGAAACAGTATGCCGGAGAGAGAAATATGTTTACCTGTAAATAATATTCATATTATCCCCCATGTCACTCACTCACTTTTTTTTTACAACTCTGTATCTTTTGAAAAGGTGCGGACAAAAGATCACATATTTGACAGCATCAGTCACCTGATAGGCCATCACCGTGACAACAGCTTGCCCATAGTTTCTGCAGGAAGTGAACTGTGTCTGAAGCAGCCTGTGGGCAACAGGAAACAGTGACGATCCACTCGCTAAGCCTGATGGGAGATGGAGTTCTGAAACAAAAAACCTCCAATCCCTCCTGAAAACCTGAAACTTGAAGATGAAAATCGAGAATATATTATTGTTGAAAAAGGTTACTTAACGATGATGACAGTCGTGTTGGAAGCGGTCTGTGGCAAAGGACGAAGAGAAAGAAGAGGTTTGCTGATAAAAAATGATTTATAGAACTGTTATTATTTTGTTGTGATGATTGAAATGCTATATTTTTGAGAAGACATATAGGTGCATTTGGGACATATATGTTGATTTGGTGTTTTAAAAACTAAAAAAACAACTGTTAGTAGTTTAGATGACAAAGTGCAAATTGACCTCAAGGAGGGGAAAGAAAATAGTATTTTAGATTAAAACCCTACATTTTAGTTTTGTCTATCAAGCACAACCAGATTTACACAGTCATTGGTAAGTACGAGTTAGGTAGAGGAAAACAACTATTTGAAAATGCTGTTGTTTATATTGAAACTATTTTAGGATTATTTGTCCTTTATCGCAGCTATAGCGCGACGACATCTTCACTTGGGGTTACTAATGAATCTTTCCTGGTCCCAGACCTGTTTGTGCTGTCTTGCCAAAACCTTTGGACAATGACCATAGACCATAGGAGTTGGTAAGACAGCACAAATGGGTCTGTGACCAGGCTATAATGAATCTGCTTTATAAGAAATAAAGACGTGAATGTGTTTTGCTTTACAGTAGTCACAGTGTGTTGGGGTCAGGGGTCGTGACCTTTAACCCCTCATAGTGCTGTCAACATGGCTTTAAAGATACTGGGTGAATCTCAATTGTACTCCCTTGATTACTCGCATCCTCTCTCCTTGCCTCCTTCACAAAACCTTCCGATAGCCTCATGAAACCAGACTGATCTAATTGTAAGTCTCTCTGGATAAGACCATCTGCTAAATGACTAAAATGTAAAAATGTGACATTTGTGACAATGTCACATTCTGTTTCACTTCACGAAACGTAAGCGCAGCGGTCAGTCTGGTTTCAAGAGGCTATATAGATCCGAGGGGAGGACCCTCACATCTTCTGCTCCAATGTGCTTTGAGAAGGAGACAAGGAGGGAGGGCATGAGGAATCAAGTTATTACTATTGAGATTGACCCACTGACATTTTTTTATGATGAAGTACTCTTCTTGTGTCACTGCAGTCGCATGACTTGAAAAATCTAACTGTTCCTGTGGACATTGTTCATAGACCTTGAACCCCCTTGGGAGGTACTTGTGTATGCTCACACTGTAAAAAAAAAAAAAAAAACTATTTATTGCTTTTCTAAATATTATTTCTTCATTGGTTTCTGGATCCTTCTTTAAACTGGGTGTGTAGTAAGTCAACTAGTTTGGGGCTTTGATCATGCAAATGAATATTCTTCACATCATTTCTAGCATTTATGGCTTTATCGTAGACTTTAAAAGTGTATTATTTGACATTATTATCACAAATGTATAGCACAATCAGAAGTTTAAAAGATTATCTGTGTTAATTGTATTGAGAACAATTCACCAACGTGTTTTAACATAAATCACTGTACTGAAGGGAGGTTTAGAAAAATCCTCTCTATTTCACCTAGCGCACCCTTACTTAGATAATAACAATATTAGATCACTTTCTCTTGTGTAACAATACTGATTATAAATGAATTGTCATTTCTCAATGTATGGATTTCGATAGGTCTATTGACATCACAGAATGGTCATGAATTACAGAAAAGCTTATAGATAGAACAGTTAAATTCGCCTTTTACCTATGCATTTAAACTGAATTTACATAACTAGGAATAATTTCATTATATTTATCATGTTATATAGCATGTTCAATATTTGTTATATAACTATTGTAATTACATTGTAATAAAATAAGAAGAATGAATATTTGAGTTGTATGGTACAACTTATTTAAATTCAACCACTTGTAATCTATACATTAAATAACTTACAATACATATTTGGAACAGTTTTTAAAGTAATTGCATAGGTAAAACAGCCACATTTATCTAAATGGTTACAGAAGCTGAAAATAACAGATGTTCTAGCATCACGTTCAAGTACAGAATCTGAATACTATGAACATTAACAAAACCTGTGACACAAACGGAACACTGATGCATTTCAGTGTTTGATAATGATGTGTACAGGATTGAACCAAAACAGAACCTGTGTTTCCAATCAATTTGATTGACAAGAAGACAGTTATTTATGATACTGCAGGCTACCTGTATTTTGCAGCAAGAGGAAGTGTACATGAATCTACTCTCACAACAGTCTTTTAAATAAGTCTTACTCTGATTTGTAAAGGGGATCATAGCAATGTTATGACATGATTTGATAACCTCCCCATCACAAAATGAGACAGTTACTGTAGAGCCTAAAGCAGTTTCATGTACTTTTACTCTAGATTCCGTGCATTTACAGACAGCCCACTTCTTTCGTGGCAGTTTATGAACAGACAAAATAGACTAGTAATTAATTTCGTTTGGCAGATCTGTACAGTGACTTTTTGGAAAGGACCAAATTCAAGAATAGATTCCCAAAACTCTTAGGGACAAATCCTGACTGGAGAACCAAGCATTTTACTCAAACTTTCAAACAAATAATCAAATAATCTTACATGAATCAATCTTACACCATTACAGTAATAGCTTGAGCATAAATAATGTTACGTTAGCTCAACAAAGAATTGTGAGTCAACTCAACATTCACATATATACAGTAGGTAGGGAGATAAGCTAGAACATGGCTTTTCCAGATTTCTGTTGATGAAAATGTGCCTTTTATTTGTACCAATGGTGTTTTTTCTTCTTCAAAGTGCAATAGCTGGAACTTCATGGGCATGCCCTGCCGTTCATTAGTGTGCGTCCCAATGGCACCCTAACACCTATATAAAGCACTACTTTTAAAAGTATTACACTATGGGAAATAGGATGCCATTGGGACGTATCCTAAGAGTTGTGTTACTGCTTGAGTGTTGCTGCTTGAGATTCAACCTTTTTTTTTTAAATTTTCTCTCTCGCTCTAGTTTCCAAATTCTGAATATGCTGGGTTTTTTTGTCAGAAGGATCACAAAAACACATTTTTGGAACAAGTAAAAAAATAAATAAAAACAAAGAAATGAGTCCAAACAACGTTTACAGATGGTATCTTTGGTTGTATGAGTTATCATCATTCTGTATGACTGTTTGCAATAAAACCGTGAATGTTCTTCTTTGATATGACGATCAGTCATACTGTTTTCCATGCAGTTCCACTGACTCCCTTAAAGCAGCATGCTGTACATACACATGCCCCAAGGCACAGCAAACCTATGTGGTGATAACATCAGTGATAACATCAGTGATAACATCAGTGATAACATCAGTGATAACATCAGTGATAACATCTATTGATTGTTTTTTATTTTTTCAACAGGGAAATATCAAATGCTGTTTTCTACATACGGTATTCCGATTAATTACATTCCAACTGAACCACTTAATGTGTTAATTTACAGTACTGTATTGTATGTCTGTAAAATATTTGTCTTATTTGAGATAGGTTTATGTTTGTCTTGAGCAATTGTCAGCTGAATAGATGAACTGAAAGTCTCTTTAGTACAGTGGTCACCAAACGGTCGACCGCGATCGACTATTCGGTCTCCAAGGCATTCCTAGTCAAAATCACCAAACATTTCTGTAAAAAACAATGATAATGCTTTGCGTTGCTATTTTCTTTTTCTTTTAGTACTGTTGGCGGTAAGTGCACATGATTCCGCAGCCCTAGTGCCGGGAAGGCAAAGTGTTCCCATTTTGTATCTGAAGGTGGATTCAATGAATGTGTCTGAAGGTGGAACTCCGCCTACCCGGCAGGGCCCAGAGAGCAAATCAAGTGCACCTATAGGCCTACTGCTGGCCAATCGTATAGCTCAGCTCACTGTGTCTGCACAGTTTCCTCGAGCCATAGGCTGTAAAAAGAAGCCAACGGGCGCACAGCAAAGTTGATACTGTGAGATTTAAAAACTTTAAAAACCATGACTAGAGAGAGACTCAATGAATACAGCAAAGAGCTGCTGTTTTTATGTTTAAGTTGTTATTCAGCACTGTCAACACTTTTATAAGCCATAAAATGGACATCCTCCCTACTTCCACTCACGCTACAACTAATGAGTATAGCAAAGTGTTCCGATAAGCTTGAGTTGTTATTATTAGCAGCTTGTGTCTTTTTTAATATCAAGGAATATTTATCTTTCTCTGGTCATAGGAGTAACAACACATTTGTATTTATTTTACTAGGCAAGTCAGTTAAGAACAAATTCTTTATTTACAATGACTGCCTACCCCGGACCAATTGTGCAACACCCTATGGGACTTCCAATCACACCGGAATGTGAGACAGCCTGGAATCGAACCAGGGTCTGTAGTGACGCCTCTAGCACTGAGATGCAGTGCCTTGGACCGCTGCGCCTCTAAGGAACCCGAATTGGTGCACGAGGCCCGGATTAATGCAGTGCTACTTGAGTTTCGCCATCAGCTGGAAGACTGTGTACCCTTTTCTCAGCGGAGGGAGGGAGGGATGGAGAGTCATTGCTGCTCCCTCCCTCCCCTCAGACTGACCATCAGATGCAAACCATCAGTAGAGTAAAATAAAAATGTAAGCAAATTATTACGCTCACTCAGCTGTGCCTCACAAGTAACACAACAAATGATCCATTTACCAGTGTGATCATATACCTAAAATCTTGACTTTCTTTGGTCATAGGAGTAACAACATGAATTGGTGCATGAGGCAGAAATAATGCAGTGCGACTTGAGTTTCGCCATCAGCTGGAAGACTGTGTCCCCTTTTCTCTGCGGAGGGAGGGAGAGAGGGATGGAGAGTCGGGTGAGAGGCAACCTCACTTCTGCTCCCTCCCCTCAGACTGACCATCAGATTCAGGCTGTCAGTCCAGTAAAATAAAAATAAACGAATTACTATGCTCACTCAGCTGTGCCTCACAAGTAATATAACAAATGATCTATTACCAGTGTGATCATAAACCTAAAATGTTGAAATATAATTTCGAAATGGTCTGACAAGAACAACATTGGCAGGGCAATTCAAGCATAGCCAATATGCAGTGATAATGTATTGGGCCTATAGCCTACTGCACAAACCTCATTGCTACAGAACTGTTTTTAATTGGTTAATGTTGCATAGGCTTATGTTTATTAAGTCATGTTTTTAAAAGAAATCTGAGCGGTTTGCTTTTGGACTCTTCCTTGAGCTCATAGACATATTAACAGTTAAATGATGCTACAGTTCAGGTAGTAGCATAATGTTGAGCAAATCATCTGGTTAAATACAATCGTTTACACAATAAAACAAATAACATGCTACCATTGTATAATGTAGAGGAACAGTATTTACGATAAACTGTACACATATGTCAAAGTATGACGAACTAAAAAATAATAAATAGCTTTTTTCAAGAGTTACAGTTACATTTCATGTAAAATACCCATATGTTTACCGTCCCAGCCCACCATGTCTGTTTTACAGGGCCTGCATTATAGTGGCAATCTATAACTCCACTGCACAGATTATGGCCTAAATTCAATTCGGACCACAGAATATCTGCGTTATAGCGCGACTGACATTTAAAGGTCATTTCCGATTGAGCAGACACATGCAGCGTTTACCATGAACGCAGTCTCTGCGAATGCGGAAACGTTGCCTTTAAAAGGTGCATAGCCGAAAAGGGGCCGATCTGATTTAATCTAGCCCTATTTCTCAGCCGCACAGTTTCTGGACCCTCTACCCTCACAGAGAGGGAGAGCCAAGTGCTTATTTGTGGTTATGAAGTTATGAATTGTGGTCCTCTGTAGCTCAGCTGGTAGAGCACAGCGCTTGTAACGCCAGGGTAGTGGGTTCGATCCCCGGGACCCCCCTCATACACAAACATTTATGCACGCATGACTGTAAGTCGCTTTGGATAAAAGCGTCTGCTAAATGGCATTATATTATTATTTGGCTAAATATACTAAACACAAATATAAACGCAACATGTAACAATTTCAACAATTTGACTGAGTTACAGTTCATATCAGGAAATCAGTCAATTTAAATAAATATATTAGGCCCTAATCTATGGATTTCACATGAGCAGGGGAGCAGCCATGGGTGGGTCTGGGTGGGCATAGGCCCACCCACTGGGGAGCCAGGTCCAGCCAATCAGAATGAGTTTTTTCCCCACAAAATGGCTTTATTACGGACTGAAATACTCCTCCGTTTCATCAGCTGAAGAAGCCAGATGTCGAGGTCCTGGGCTGGAGTGGTTACACGTGGTCTGCAGTTGTGAGGCCAGTTGGACGTACTGCCAAATTCTCTATAACGACGTTGGAGGCTTCTTATGGTAGAGAAATGAACATTCAATTGTCTGGCAACAGCTCTGGTGGACATTCCTGCAGTCAGCATGCCAATTGCACGCTACCCTCAAAGTTTGAGACCTTTGTGGCATTGTGTTGTGTGACAAAACTGCACATTTTAGAGTGGCCTTTAATTGTCCCCACCACAAGGTGCACCTGTGTAATGATTAAGCTGTTTAATCAGCTTCTTGATATGCCACACCAGTCAGGTGGGTGGATTATCTTGTCAAAGGAAAAATGCTCACTAACAGGGATGTAAACAAATTTGTGCGCAAAATTTGAGAGAAATAATATTTTTGTGCGTATGGAACAGTTCTGTGCGCTTTTATTTCAGCTCATGAAAATGGGACCAACGCTTTACATGTTGCGTTTATATTTTTGTTCAGTATAGTTACAGTATAGGCCTACAATGTCTCTCCATCCTATGCACAGTATAGGGCTACAATGTCTCAAGTGTTCGTAGTCTCTTGTGTTCGCCCAGAACGAGTAGGATATGGAGGTTCAGGGCCCAGCAGAAAACCTCAACCCTCCTCTCCAATGGCCCCATTGGCACACGATGATGTCGGACACTTTATCGAGGTCTGTGCCACTATAATATTCACACCTCTGTCCCTGTCCTTCTGCTGCTCATCTGCCCTGCTGTGGTTGTTAGGATTATTATAGGCTGTGCTCCTGCTGTGCTCCTGCTGCGCTCCTGCTGCGCTCCTGCTCTGCTCCTGCTGCGCTCCTGCTGCGCTCCTGCTCTGCTCCTGCTGCGCTCCTGCTGCGCTCCTGCTGTGCTCCTGTTGCGCTCCTGATGCGCTCCTGCTGTGCTCCTGCTGTGCTCCTGCTGCGCTCCTGCTGTGCTCCAGGTTACTGGGCTTATTGGGTTCACCACTGCTGGAGACCTTCCCCTTCATCAGACAGCCACAGACCAAGCTAAAGAAGGCTCTCCTCATCTCCCTGCTGGCCAGGGTATAGATAACGGGGTTCATGGCAGAATTGAGCACGGCCAAGGCTATGAAGTAGTCGGCCTTGTAGAGGATGGTGCAGCAGCGGTGCTCGCAGGCCACATCGATGAGGAGGAGGACGAAGATGGGCATCCAGCAGGCGATGAAGACGCCGACCACGATGATGACGGTACGGAGGAGGGTCATAGAGTGCTCCGAGTTAGAATGTTTCGTCACCTTGCGACTGCTGGATAGATAGAACGACAGAGTGATAAATATAACCATATATAGAAGGATGGATGGATGGATGGATGGATGGATGGATGGATGGATGGATGGATGGATGGATGGATGGATGGATGGATGGATGGATGGATGGATGGATGGATGGATGGATGGATGGATGGATGGATGGATGGATGGATGGATGGATGGATGGATGGATGGATGGATGGATGGATGGATGGATGGATGGATGGATGGATGGATGGATGGATGGATGGATGGATGGATGGATGCATGCATGATGGGTGCATGTATGGATGGATGGATGGATGCATGGATGGATGGATGGATGGATGGATGGATGGATGGATGGATGGATGGATGGATGGATGGATGGATGGATGGATGCATGCATGATGGGTGCATGGATGGATGGATGCATGGATGTGTGCATGGATGGATGCATGCATGCATGGATGCATGGATGGATGGATGGATGGATGGATGGATGGATGGATGGATGGATGGATGGATGGATGGATGGATGGATGGATGGATGGATGGATGGATGGATGGATGGATGGATGCATGGATGCATGGATGCATGGATGGATGGATGGATGGAAACCGGCCATTAGTGTACAAGACAGAAGACAGAAAACCAAGTCAGGGGCCAGAAAAAGTGCCATAAACATTCCATTATATCATTATAGACCACCATAAAATAGCATCAATACATACCTAGTCCTCACCAACATGTAGATGCATTTACAGACAGACAGACAGACAGACAGACAGACAGACAGACAGACAGACAGACAGACAGACAGACAGACAGACAGACAGACAGACAGACAGACAGACAGACAGACAGATAGACAGGCTGATCGATCAATCGGTCACCATAAGATAGCATCAATACATACCTGGTCCTCACCAACATGTAGATGCGTATGTACAGGATGGACATGGCCAGCAGTAAGGCCATGAAGATGATGATGCAGAAGGCCACGTACTTCTTGGTATAGAGTGGTAGGACCGTGGAGCAGTCAGGGAGGTTGTCCAAGCAGTTCCACCCCAGGATGGGCAACGCTCCCAGGGATATAGCTATGAGCCAGCAGGTCCCTATGAGCAAGAACACCCTGTAATTCTTATTGGTGTCGTAGGGCCTCATTTTAATCATGGTCAGATGTCTCTCTATGGCTATAGCCAGGAGACTGAATGTGGAAGCCCCCAGGGCCACAAACATACTCCCTTCCCTCACAAACCACAACACTGGGGACAGGTGAAGGGTCTTCTCCCCTGACATGAGGAGGTTGACGATATAAGCTACCCCAGCCAGAAGGTCACACAACGCCAGGTTGGCTATGAAGAAGTACATGCGGTTGTGGAACTTGTGGTTTTTCCATATTGCTACTAGAACAATCAGGTTCTCCAGGACTATGAAGCTACAGATGATGAGGAACACGATGGTTTTAGCATCCAAGGTGACGCCACCACCTGTGATTTTTCCATTCTGACGGTTATCCAGCTTCCCTGTGTAGTTGTAGTGGAGATATATCTGCTTGTTCATCGTCTTTGGTTTTCAGGGTGTTATTCCTCAAATGTCCAGCAGAGATGAGTAAAGAGGTGTATTCAAGTCCTGTTTTGAGTGAGATCGATGAATACCCCACCTTTTTACAGCTGAGTTGAAAGTGATGGACCAGCTTGAATTAAAAACAAAAGTGGATTATTAACATTTTAGTATTGTATCCCTCTTTCTCTTGATCAAAAAAATAATGAGTGCATCTGGGTAGCATCTATCCGGAATCGAGACGTTTATTATCCAGAGTTATTGCCCTAGAAAAATATTTGATTTAGTCTATGATTGAAGTATGCTGTAATTAAAATTTTAGTGACAATTCGAAGGCTCTGGAAGGTTCTCGACAAGCACACCCTTTGTTCTTAATGTGTTTAACCACAAATAGCACAATAACATACAACCAGAATTATGTAACATTTCAAATGAAGAAAACATTTCAACAATCTTTAAAATCACATTTTATTTTATTTGTGTCTATAGTTTATACTGGCGACTATAGCCAACAGAATAACTTATTTTTTTTTAATCAACGAATTTAATCCCGTACAGCTATAGATTAAAATAGAAAAGACTCACAGTCAGATGCTCTGGAGCCTATTCCGGAGATCCTTTCCAGCGGCGCGCGAAAGTTACTCCACTTCATCCAGGCTTCTTTCATATCATTTCATACTTTTACATTTCTTAAAGTGGTGGTGATAATTCCTCTTCATATAGTAATAATACGAGTCTACAACGTTATTCCTTCACCCCCAAATTCTTCTTGCAGAAGTTTGTTACAGTATTTTTCTTTACAAATTTCTCTACATCTGTACTGAAGTAGCCTACCCATCTGTATTCCATTTCTGACTAACGGCTGAAGGCACACCCCTCCCTTCTAGAGAGGGGCGGACGGGAAAACGTAGGAGGGCTGTATTGACAAGAAGACTGCAGACATTATTAAAGACATGCATTACTCACAAGGTATGTTCCAAAGTAATTTGGATCAATATTGAGTCCAGTATTTTGATCATGGTAGGATACAGCTCAAAAGAACAAGAAGGCCCGCACACTGTTAAAGCTCCCAATTCACCGCTTTATTGACAACGTTTCGATCCCCCCCAAAAAAACACAGCTCAAAACATTGTTTCTAAAGAAGTAAGTGGTAGGCTACAATATTGGTGACCATGCACCACTTTTAACAGCCTGGTCTCATAGACTAGACGTAACAGAGTAAATGTAAATCAGGGACACTCAAATAAGTATGATATGTTAATTAGGAACTTTGCAACTACTTAGCATGTTAGCTAACCCTAACCTTAACCCTTTAACCTAACTCCTAACTCTTAACCTCTAACCATAACCCCTAGCCTAGCTAACGTTAGCCACCTAGTTAACAGTAGTGTTAGCCACCTAGCCAGCTTATTAGTCCCGTGTAGCTCAGTTGGTAGAGCATGGTGCTTGCAACACCAGGGTTGTGGGTTAAATTCCCACGGGGGGCCAGTATGAAAAAATGTATGCACTCACTAACTGTAAGTCGCTCTGGATAAGAGCGTCTGCTAAAGGACTAAAATGTAAAAAATGTAAATTATAAACACCCCAGAATCATAACTGATTATAAACTCTCAATGTCTTACATGACTCTTAGATTACCTACTCACTTTAAACTATTTGATAACTTATAACCATGTTATAACTGTTTTATAATTAATGTTCCTGATCCCTGAACAGCTGCAACTGTTTTACCAAACAGAGAAAACTAGAGAAGACCCACAAAGGCCTGTTCTAAAGACTTCCACACCAAACCAATGTTATAAACATCATACGGTGTGACTTTAAAATAGCCTTCTGACTGTGCTGTAACAGCAGGTTCTGCTCTGCCTTGTGGTAAAGGCGTGTGTATGCTTTGGCAAAGGGGAGGGAGTTGTCTTTCCTGGCTATGTCATACTGAGAGAGGGGGGAGACAGGCAGACAGAGAGAGAGAGAGAGAGAGAGAGAGAGAGAGAGAGAGAGAGAGAGAGAGAGAGAGAGAGAGAGAGAGAGAGAGAGAGAGAGAGAGAGAGAGAGAAAGAAAGAAAGAAAGAAAGAAAGAAAGAAAGAAAGAAAGAAAGAAAGAAAGAAAATACCGCAGATGTGTGCCCCGTTGCCATGAGAAAAGGGCAACCAGTGGAGCACAAACAACATTGTAAATGCAACCTATATTTATCTGTTTATTTATTTTCCCTTTCATACTTCAACTACTTGCACATTGTTACAACACTGTACATCGCCAATAATATAACATTTGAAATGTCTATATTCTTTTAAATGTTTACTAATGTTTCACTTATTTCCCTTTTGTTTATTGTCTATTCCATTAGCTTTGGCAATGTAAACATGTTTCCCATACCAATAAAGCCCTTTGAGTTTTTGAGTTTTAAATAATCTTTATTGGGTCTGGGAGCCCACCACACAATAAATACTCATACAAAACCGTATTTACACATCAATTAAAAACACAACTCCAATTCCTCCTCCACAGTAACTGAACACAACAGCCTCTGAATACCCCATATACTCATGAACAGATCAATATTGTTGACAAGTTTATAATAGGCAAACTCAACCCATAGTCTCGCTGCCAACAATCCCTCCAGCATTCCCACCACATCCACAGACCCCTGTCCCCGAATACTGTTCTTTCGGGTCTTCCATATCGCTAATTTTGCTGCCCCTAACACAAAATTAAGCAACACAACTACACCTTTCTGACTAAACCTGTACTTTGGCCCAAATATATACAGTTGGGAAGAGAAAACCTCTCCCAACGTTGAGAACCAATTAGTGATCAGGTCAATCACCCCGACCAACCTGGGACACTGTAAAAACAGATGTGCCAGAGTTTCAGACTCAGCACAGAATGGACACCCCTCCCCAACAGTAGGATCCAGGTGTACCAGATACATGTTGGTGGCTATGGCTCCATATATTATCCTCCATTGGAGGTCAGCTGTCCTCTTATCAATAGGCAGTTTGTATAATGATCGCCAACAGCCTTTTGGGGAGGCACCTGGACCAAGCACACCCGCCCACCTCGTCGATTTTACCCCTTCCAGGGAAGAGGCATGGGACACCTTTACACATATTCTGTACATGGCCTTCTTTCCCACCTCCTTGAACTCCCCCAGCTCCGGGGTATCGAAGGAAAGCAGCATCCCCACGTCCTCCTCGAATGCCCCCGCCGCAGCACTAACAATCAGTGCAGGGAACACATAATCCAGACCCTCCTTCCACCGATCAGAATTGGAAGTGTCAGTCACATACTGCAGATGAAGTACTGGCAAGGAGTCACAGACCTCAGCGACGACCTTCCTCAGTAGGCGAGACGATCGGATCCCCGCTCTTTCTCCCAGCTCCTCCAACGACCTATTCCTATTCTGCATCAGATGACCCAGCTTAGTACACCCCACGCCTAACAGGCATGAACGTAGGCTAGCTGAACCCAGAACACGGGACTGGATGGCAGTGTTGTGAAAAAGAGGCTCTTCAAAAAGCCACATCCCTGGTGGCGTGCAGGCCTTACAGGACTTGACCAGAACTCTCCAAGCCTGCATAACAGACTCATAAAATGGAGTCAGGCTAGGCAACTCACCCCCCTCCAGCTTTAAGAGGAAAAGGTGCTTGTCTAAGCCCAAACAGCCCACTCTCCTCATCAATGTGTAGGCTGTGTCAACCCAGCTAGAACCGTCACTGTACAACAGTCTCTGGGCTGCTTGAAGCCGGAAAGCCATGATCCTGGAAGAAATGTCCACCAGGCCTTGCCCACCCTCGTGCAGTGGCAGGTACAGGGCTGAAGCTTTAATCCAATGTTGTCCAGACCAGAAGAAATTGACAAGGGTCCTCTGAAGCTCTTGTATCAGACCCTTTGGTGGCTGTAAAATCATTAGTCTGTGCCACAGGGTAGAGGCAGCAAGATTATTAGCTACCAGTACCCTTCCCCTATAAGACAGCTGGGGCAGCACCCATTTCCATCTTGACAGTCTGGCACACACTTTCTCCACTACACCCTCCCAGTTCTTTTTCTGAAAGACATCGGAGCCTAGAAAAACCCCCAAAGTCTTCATCCCATCTCTGCCCCACTGAAGCCCCCCTGGTAACCGTGGAGCGGACCCCATCTGAAGCTGGCCTGCCCACAGCGCTTCACTCTTTCCCCAATTGACTCTAGCTGAGGAGGCCCCCTCATACACCTTTAAAGAGTCTGAGAGAACCTTAACATCCTCACCCCCTGTAATAAAAACTGTCACGTCATCTGCATACGCAGACAGTGCTATCGTGGGACCCTTCATTACACCTGGCACAGAGAAACCAGTAAGCTTCGCTCTTAAAAAACAAAGCATTGGTTCAATCGCCAGACTATATAACTGCCCTGAAATTGGGCATCCCTGCCTGATGCCCCTTTGGACAGGGATGGGACAACTCAAACCACCCCCCACCTTCACCATACACGAGGCCCCAGCATACAGTAAATTCATCCAAGACAAAAAAACATCCCCAAACCCAAAGGCTTTCATTGTTTTAAACAAGTACTGGTGGTCCACACGATCAAAAGCCTTCTCCTGATCCAAAGAAAGTAAACCCACATTTACATCAGACAGTTTACAAATGTCTAAAACATCTCTTATTAGAAACAAGTTGTCAACAATAGAGCGATCAGGTACACAGTAGGACTGGTCCTTGTGGACCAACAATCCCAGATACTCTTTCAACCTGTTTGAGAGACATTTAGAAACAATTTTATATTCTGCACACAGCAAAGCAACAGGTCTCCAATTTTTTATGAGAGCCAAATCCCCCTTTTTTGGCAACAGTGAAAGTACCGCACGTTGACAAGATACAGGAAGAGAGCCCTCATGAAAAGATTCACACACCACTTCATAAAAATCCTCCCCAATAGACCCCCAAAAGTGCTTATAAAACTCAGATGGTAAACCATCAATGCCAGGGGCTCTGCCTGTTGAGAGCTGCATAACTGCTGT